CCAAACTTTTTTGATAAAAGGACCACTATATACGCACAATAACTCCAGCTTGAAATTTGACATGATGTTTTAATGTTTGAGGAAAATTTGCACCTTTTTCAAAAAGATAAAGATGATGCAAGTTCTTGAAGGAAATATTCCAAATCATTATAAACATGCACTTCAAAGAATGCCATTGTCACCCAAAAAAAGACCATGGTACACACAAACGGTTCTTAATTTGAAACGGTGTTGGAATCTGTTGGCAGAAGGCCCCACTTTTTATGAAACTATGCAATCTTTCAAAGGGAATGCAGGAAATCGGGCCACACTTTCTTTACGGAATATCACATTCTTTGAAAAATATGATTTGGGGTTATGACGCATCTTGGAGGATATTATGTAAGAATGCCGAACCCATGTCCCAACTGCTCTTCGTCTGCTTTATTTTGTTTCATTCTTTTCGGCATTTGTTTTGACAAGTGCCACATTCTTCAGAAAACTAGACGAGAATAGATGAAATACAAAATTACCCTCAACCCATGCCCAAGTCTCTGAGCATCTGATTTTGCTAATTTGGGGGACAAGAAACCCAGACTAGCAGGAGTCATGACGTATGAACTGGATTAATCAGGGTTAATCCAAATTCATCTGAATCAGACCAAAACCTCGAGAAAACAAAAAGAAACAAATATTTGGCAACTAGTCCAGCAGATTGATTGTGTTTTTTTGAGTTTTCTTTTTTTTAGTGGTCTGGATTAAACTTATCAGGGTTAACTTGGGTCGAAGTGAGACAGACCAGAGCGTTGAGGTGCCAGACACATGCTTTTGTGAAGAGATAGGATAGCCTACATTCAGAACGAACTGTTGTTGTGTGTGAGTTTCTTCATTGAATGTCCAACCAAAAATTTGAAAAAAACCGCTCACAACAGGTTTTTCCGAATAAAAAACACTCTATGTGTGTTTTTAGTTGGTCGTACGTCCGCACATTCACATGTCCGTTCGGTCCTACGTATTGCGGTCGCTCGGTCGTACGCTTTTGGTCGTTCGGTCGTACGCTTTTGGTCGTTCGGTCGTACGTTCGGTCGTACGTTCGGTCGTTCGGTCGTACGTTCGGTCGTACACTTTTCGGTCGTACAAAAATAGTGCCTCATTTAGTGCCTCATGAGGCACTAAATGAGGCACTATTTTTGTACAACCGAAAGCTCGAATACATATTTTAAATTGGCCTGACTGAACGACCGAAACCCTGTACGAGCGTACGTGCGGAGTGTACGTGCATACGTGCGTGCGTACGTACGTGCGTACGTGCGTACGTGCGTGCGTACGGACGATCTGACATGTAAACATCACTGCTGCCTTAAGTAATTATAGTTGTTTTGGGGTAGGGGTCACATACTATGATTTTTTCTATTATTTTGAATGTTTGCCATTTCCAAGAGGGGATAAGATAGTGTCAAGCCTGTGCCAAAATAATGTTCAATGGGAAAGTTATTTCAGTGGGGTCAGACTCCGGTAAAATTACGTGCAGCGTGATGGAAAAAAATTAGATGAAATTAGTTCGAACTATTTTTTTGGATATTCCATCCCTTAAACAATTATGCGGTATCAAACAGGTTCTGGAATATGATTGAGTATTACTTTGAATTAATCTTAGTTGAAAAAATCCTAAGGGTCCTAAGGGATAGATCTGCGGAGGTGCTTGATGAAATATGTTAACCATGATCCAACCCCTCAACATACCCTGGAATAATTAGGGTTTGGAAAAAAATATATAAATTTCCATTTGATCAAAAAAAACACCTATATTGCCTTCTCCCCTTGGGAATTCCTGTAAAATGGTGTTCATCCATCATCTTCATCACTGGTTCTTTCCTACATATTTCCCAATCTCCCATACTTCCCCCTATTTCTCCCATGTTGCACTCTCCATCTCCCTCCAAGAAATTCTCAATGGCTTGTGGAGATCAACAAGTGCTAGGTTTTTCATGGTTTTTGCAGCGTCTGGGCTAGTCGGGTGTGGCTGCCCACTTTCGTTTTTGGAGAATGCATTTCTGTCAAATTCCCTTTATTTCACTCCCAAGAGGTGAAAAGTAATGGGAAAGGGCAAGCGTTCGGTTTTTATAGGTTTTTGACGTTTTTTCCAGCTTCTGGGCGACTTGGGTGGTTCTGGCAGTTGCCCCCTCTGGCTTTTGAGGAGTGCAGGGCATCTCCAATACCCCTAGAATTATGTTTCTCCTTGGGAAATCCCACAAAATGGCATTCAACGTGGCTCTTTCCCAGTGGTTTTCCAACCTTTTTTTCCGATATTCCTTTCATTTCCACACAGAGAACCCTTGATGGGAATGAGTGGAAAAAGGCAAGCATTCGGTTTTTCTGGGTTTTTGACGTTTTTTCCAGCTTCTGGGCGACTTGGGTGGTTCTGGCAGCTGCCCCCTCTGGTTTTTGAGGAGTGCAGGGCACCCCCATACCCTTAGAATAATTTTCTTCCTTGTGGCATCCCACAAAATGGTATTCAACATGGCTCTTTCCTAGTGGTTTTCCCAACCTTTTTTTCCGATATTCCTTTCATTTCCCCCCAGAGAACCCTTGATGGGAATGAGTGGAAAAAGGCAAGCATTCGGTTTTTCTGGGTTTTTGACGTTTTTTCCAGCTTCTGGGCGACTTGGGTGGTTCTGGCAGCTGCCCCCTCTGGTTTTTGAGGAGTGCAGGGCACCCCCATACCCTTAGAATAATTTTCTTCCTTGTGACATCCCACAAAATGGTATTCAACCTGGCTCTTTCCTAGTGGTTTTCCCAACCCTTTTCTCCGATATTCCTTTCATTTCCCTCCAAAGAACCCTCGATGGGAATGAGTGGGAAAAGAATGGAAAAGTTTTTCTAGATGTTTGACGTTTTTTCCAGTTTCTGGGCGAGTTGGGTGGTTCTGGCAGCTGCCACCTTTGATTTTTGAGGAGTGCACTGCATCTCCTATATCCTTAGATAATTTTACAGAAAGTTTTTGGTTGCGGGTTGCAAATTTTGATGCTTTCTTGGTGCAACTTACAGTGAGGGAGATTCTGCCAAGACTAACAGGGAGCAAACATGATCGATCCAAAAAACAATCATAAAAACAAATAAAAGACTTTTGCACAACCAACATTGTGCAGGATTTCTTGATGATGTACTTCGTTATTTTCTTCAATTCAGCTTCGGTGAGGCTACACAATGCTACGTATCCCCTTTTGTTGTTTTATTTGTGAGAGGGGTATCCTTCTGTTAGATATTATTCCAGAATCCCATATATCTCATTGAGCTCTGTTTTTTTGAGATTTCAACTCAAGGTATGCCAGAACAATTCTTTATTATTCATTTCTGAGGTATATTGACGGGGCATACTCTTTAGGCATCCTCATATTTTGATTTTTTGTTAGAAGGTTGAGTTGCAGTGAAAGGTGAGAAGGGGATATGGAGGGGATTTGTCGGGCATTTTGGATGGAAACTTGGCATGTGGCAATCCTTTGTCAAAATATGTCAAAGGGGCCAAAAAAAACATATTCGGGAAATACATTTTGAGGGGGGAGGTAGGAAGGGAAATTATTTCCAAGTAGTCCCACCTGACGTTGTGAAACCCAACTTACGTCAACCCACTTTGACATGATAATGTTTTTTTGGGGGGGCGTTGAGGTATAGGAGTGGTATGTAAACATTTACAACCCAAAGCGCCAATGCATGTTTGTTTCATCACCGGTCAAACATACACCCCACATCTTTTGCCCGTACGCCCCACACATCTTTTACCCGTACTCCCCACATCTTTTGCCCTTTCGCACGTTCGCCCGTGCGTTTGCCCGTACGTTCGCCCGTACGTTCGCCCGTACGTTCGCCCGTACGTTCGTCCGTTCGCCCGTGCGTTCGCTCGCACGCCCCCTCGCACGCCCCCTTTTCGCACGTTCGTACGCACGTCCAACCCCCCTCATTCAATACGTCCAAAAATGTTTAAAAATCCTCATTAGCGACTTCTTGAATATAGCTAAGGTATATAGGTAGTTAGATAGAAAGAATTGTATTCCATAAATCCACAATAAGGTCAAGAAATGCAATCTTTTTCCAGGAAACAAATGGGAAGGATTTTCGCTCCTTGTTCCATTTGGATAAAATCACCTGAGTATTGTGAACTTAGAGAAGAACGACACATGGAAATTGATCAGCAACCATAGGGATGTCACCAGCAACCAGATTTCAAGCCGTGAAATTAGAGATTCCAATATTTTATAAACAAACTTGGGAATACAACCAACAAATATGGGATTATCAAATCTAACCAACGATCCGCCATTGGACTTTCTAACCAATGTGGGGAGCTACTCGCACAACATTGGCATGTAACCAAGAAAAACGGAGGATGTAAGCAAAAACAATTGGGACTTAGGGAACGCACTGCAGCACAGGCAGGGATTTCCCCTCTGGTCATGGAATATGTTTGGCTGTAAAATGGCAATTTGATTGGATAATTCATCTGCAGCCTGGGCGATCTTCCATTGCCATGTTTGAATACCAAAGGGCAATGATGGAGATACAAGCCGAATTGTGGACATAGGAAGGAAGGGTATGACTTTCAGGAACCTTTTGCTTCATTCCAGGTACAGTCATGCAGTCATGCCCTCGATACAACTAGGAGGCGATATGGAGATCCTAAGCTAAGATCTGCTAAGTATTGAACACATGTGTCCTCATTCAATGCTCTCATGATCTCATACGGATTTGTCTGGAAATAGGATACCGCTCCTTTGGCATTACCGTCAAATTTCCCATGTAAATTGTCATTTTTAGGAGCGGGGTCGTCTCCAACTACCTTTGCTCAGTGTCAGTCATGGGATGCTCCAGAACGAAATCTTTACCGAAGGTTTATATAGTGCATATGTCTGCATATGTAACTAGTTAGCCACCAGGGTCCTCTCAATCATCAAGGGGCATCGCCTTGCAAACTATGAAGGCTTTACAAGGAAATACCAGTTTCCGCGTTCTCTCGGGCTCCCTGGCATTGTAGACCCCGGACTGGTCGCAACCAAAACAAACCTGCAGCTTCGCAGAATTGCTGGCGGCGGCTTTGGGGCTGCATCAATGGGGGTTTCATACTGTAAAATTGCAAAACATTCCCAAGTTGTAGTGTATTGGACTTTCTTGAGTACACTTGGTATGAGTGCGGTTTTGTTTTAAATAGCCTTCAAATGCTTTATTTGCGCATGCTTTCTTATTGTGGGCCCCACATCGATCCAAAGGATTTTTTTCATGGAGGATGAACGCCCGGGCGCTGGAATCGCAGCAATTTTGCTACCATCCACCTAGGTACAAAATAAAGAAAAAAATGAAACTCCAAAAAAGAGGAACATCTACTGAGCAATCAATTTTCAACAATAACAAAGTCGGTCTGACTATGGTGGGGTGGGGCAGGGTCTTGTGATAACAGTAAGAGCGGCCTTGCAGTCGCTTGCTTGCAGCCATTGTCAAACCAGCGGCAAGGATCCAAGAACACAGGTAAACACTATGACATTCTGTTCCATCATTATTGCCAAAATTGCAAGTGGGGCCAACTTGCTGACTCCAACGCAACAGTCTCACAACAAAAACTTCAGCAACAGCAATCTGCATGGTACACCGTATTCTTACGTCGTCACCCTCCCCCTCATCCTCCTCCTCCTCCTCCTTCTCCTCCTCCTCCTCATCATCATCATCATCATCAACATCCTCACCATCATCATCATCATCATCATCATCATCATCATGATCATCATCATCATCACCATCCTCATCATCATCATCATCATCATCAACATCATCATCAACAGCATCCTCACCAGCATCATCATCATAATCATCATCACCAGAATCACCAGCATCATCATTGTGATTGTCATCACCAACAATCACCATTACCATCATCATCACCGCCACCGCCACCACCACCATCATCATTGTCACCACCACCATCACCAGCACCTTTACCATCATCACAATTACCTTCTTCATCTTCATCAAAATATTATCATAATCCTCATCCTCATCCGCACCATCATCATCATTCTCATTCTCACCATCATTTTCATCAACATCACAATCATCGTCATCATCATCATCGTCATCATCACCGCCATCATCATCATGATCATCATCATCAGCATCATCATCATCATCATCAACATCATCACCATCATCAGCAGCAGCACCAGCAGCAGCACCAGCATTGGCATCAGCATCCGCATCAGCATCAGAATCAACATCATCACCCCCATCATCATTACCACCATGATCATCACTGACATCATCATTACCGCCATCATCAACGTGAGTATCATCATCATCACCACCATCACAAACACCATCACCACCACCACCACCACCACCACCACTATCATCATCATCATCGTCATCATCATCATCATTATCATTATCATCCCAATTGTTCAGAAACAAGAAGCATAAGCAGTTAAAATCATGAAGTTGCCCGGCTGTGCCTTGTTGTTTCCGATTCCAATGGATGCTTGGGCCAATACACCTTGGCACTGTTGGGGCCTCCAGTGACGATGGTTATTCAGGGCCGCCGCTGGCTTGTTCGTCACCAGGTTGCATCACTACCATTTTATTATTGCAATGTGGTAATCCCAAAAACAATTAAACCGTCACCACAATACCCCATAAATGGGTGGTATAAACCATCCCAGATGGTAGGTTCATTTTTATGTTTGCCAACTTGCCAACATTATATACTATTGTAAGCCCCTTTAACTCCAATCATCGAAAACATGGTACACTTATTGCTTTCAGAAAAGGCTCTCTTGGGATTCCAGAACCACCGGGCCAGCATCAAGTAACCATGGCTGTATGTACATAACCCCATCCCTCTGATGATAAACATCCCTCTGATGATAAACACTGATAAACCTCCTTTCAATGGCATCCAAATTAACAAACAAAATTCCCGGACAAGCGCTTAGTCCTACACTATGGATGGGATTGTCATTCAGGGTCAACTGTGGCATGGGATGTTGGGGCATATTGGCCAGCCCTGTTCAGAGAATACGTCAGTGCACCGTGACTAAATATTGGGAATGTGCACGGACAACTGGTTTCGACCATTCACCTTGACATTCATTCTCCCAAATACATTGCCACAAATGGTTTCGAAGGCTTTGACAGTGGGTTTTCCCAGCCACCTTTCCGTCTGGTTCATGCATTTTGCACCAAATGATCCCCCGAATGCACGGGAAGTGGGCATGGGCCGATCCCAGCTAAACGGCCCCACATGTCCCACCACTTGGTGCACAGAAAACGAACGTGACGTTAATCGAGCGAGACACGAGTTCTTTGCGCAGCATTGAGCCCAAACACGACTTTGTCCGTAAAATTGGAGGTAAAGGAATGTTCATCGTGAAGGCAATGGATCATCAAGAGAACGGTCGGCCTTATGAAAGCCGGGAGAAATGATAGATGGTCCCGTAGCATACTTTTTCCATCTTCTTGGTAGGAAAAAAGCAAAACCCATGGTCAACAGGGGTTTCAAAGAAAACAAGCCAAGATGGAAGGGTCCTGCATTCACCCTACACAGCTGGGCAATGGCCAGGTGACAAATCCACCCACAAGGTGGCTGAGGCAAGAATGACATACCCTGGTCAAGTGCAAAAATCAAAAGTTAGAGTATTGGATATTCTATTGTATTTGAATTTTCTTTCCATGCGACTTGAAAATACTTATCTATGCATATCTACGCGACGTTGACCAGCAAAGAAATTTTGGTCTGCCACCTTCCTCATGGGAACTTGGGAAAGTCACCAAAATATCACACACCTAACAACATACTATTGACATATATTGAAATATCGAGAATTTTTGGAAAATTACCCATCATCCTGGGTAAATTACTATATTTCACTAAACTAAAACAAAACCCATTTGGGGATGATTCCCTTCCACAGTCACCATCATTCCAGTGAGGGGGAACGGTGACGCCGCTATAGTTTACCGAGATATTATCGCATTATATTTCATGAGTATAATATATGTTGGTTAAAGTATGTTAAAGTTAAATCACATGTTTCTGTAGAAAATCAACACGTTACTACGAAGCACATGTCAATGTGGTCATTATGTCATCCCTGCACTGCAGCCCAGAAGCTGGCGCAATGGCAACGCCGCGTCCTTGAGATGCTGATGTTCTAGGGGAATCCTTTGGAAACAATGCTGGTTAGATAATATAAAAAAAACATATGTCACATATGGATACATGCAAACAAATATAAGTATAAGTGAATATACATAATATAGAAATTCCATACATAGTTAATATGTAAATTCACTAAATAGCTATTTGATGTATGGTTAGTTTTTGTCGGACGTCCACGTGTTTTTCCCTAAACAGTGTGGCCACACCGAGGGGTTCTTACGGTCAGGGTTAAGGCCCGGTGGGTCAGGGTTAAGGCCCGGTGTTCATTCGAGGTGGTATCATACGTGCGCGAGATTTTGGATGACCCATACAGCACAAGAGTTCCCTCATCTTCCGTTTTCAAAGGATGTCTCGCACGAAATGGTGGCTGGGAGACCTCTCTTCCGAAGGGCTCGTTTTACTAGCACGCCGTGCTCGTTTTTTGAGCTATGTCCATTTCATTTGGCAAGCATGGCACTCTCGGGACATTTTGAAGTCTGAAACGCCTTTTTGTGTGACAGGTGCAGGACATCGGGCACTTTTTCATCCGCGTGGCAGGCGTGGAGTTTTCTGCACGTTGCTAAAACGTTGGCAAGCGTGGGTAAAAATGAGGTGTGTTTGGAAATCATTTTTCGTGCGGACGCAATATTTGTTGGACGTTGGAAAGGTTTTAAAAACGCGTTCTCTGAAACTGTCGTCGAATTTGACTTGGGGCATGATGATGATTCCGTGTGGCAGGTGCAGGACTTCGGATGCCTCGGGCTCATTTTTCGTGGCAGGCGCAATACTTTGTAGGCCTCAACACCTCAACAAAAAAGTGGCTGAGACCTAGGTAAAACTTTTTTTTACTTTTTCAATGTTTACTTTTCGTGTTGCCTGCGATGTTTTGTGAACATCTATAGCATGTGCTCGCGCACCCCTCTCGGCACTTTGGGCGTGTCAGATCGCTCTCGTTGTGGCACGGTGCTAATTTTGATGCTCAAGGAGATCTTGCGCAGAGATCTTGACAAGGAGGTCTCTTATAGAGAGCTTGCGCAGAGATCTTGCACAGAGAGCTCTTATAGAGATCTTGTAAAGGGATCTTGCCGGAATCTTGCCACGAGGTCTCTTGCACAGATCTTGCCAAAAGAGCTCTTATAGAGAGCTTGTACAGAGATCTCTTCGAGAGTCTTGCCAAGAGACCTCTTATAGAGATCTTGTACAAGGATCTTGCCAGGACACCTCTTGTGGAGATCTTGTACAGAGACATTGCACAAGATCTGTTGCAGAGATCTTGCCAAATGGTCTCTTACATCGGTCGTGCCAAGAGAACTATTATTGATAGCTTGTGCAGAGATTTCGTAAAGAGATCTTGTACAGAGACGTTGCATAGAGATCTGCTGGTATCTTGCCAGGCATCCCCTTTCAGAGATCTTGCCAAGAGACCTCTTTTGTAGAGATGTGGTACAGAGATCTTGCCAGGACACCTTTTGCGGAGATGTTACCTTTTGCGGAGATGTTGTACAGAGACATTGCACAAGATCTGTTGCAGAGATCTTGCCAAAGGGTCTCTTACATAGATCGGGCCGAGAGAACTATTATTAAGAGCTTGCGCAGAGATTTCATAAAAAGATCTTGTACAGACATTGCATTAGAGGTCTGTTGAGATCTTGCCAAGAGGCCTGTTACATAGATCTTGCCAAGAGAGCTTTTATAAAGAGCATGCACAGAGATCTTGCCAGGACTCTTCTTATCGAGATCTTCTAAAGAGACATTGCGTAGAGACTTGTTGCAGAGATCTTGCCAAGAGGTCTCTTGCATGAATCTTGCCAAGGGAGCTTGTATAGAGAGCTGATCTCTTCC